CCAGAGGGACCAAATGAAGAGCCTTACTGCAGTTTATCATTTGAAAAGCCTTGTAGGAAGAGGGAGGTAGGGAAAATTACCATTTTGGTCATGTGAAAATATGTTTGTATCCTATCTCTGACAATGAGAGTACTTGAGTGATACTGAATTTACTCCTGGATCTAGCAGTTTCTAGTAGGTGGTCACAGAGGTCCAGTTCCTTGATCTCTTAAAGAATGATGGTATAACCTCGCTGGCCTAAAATGAAAAAGGAGAAATGGGCTTTTCCCCATCTCTGCATTTTCCAGTGCACCCCAAAGAGTGCAGTATGTTTTCTCAGACAGTGCCCTCTCCTGGCTACACATGTAAATTTTACATCTTTTTGATTCTGTAATCTTAGAACTTGGATCTTCTGAAGGTGAAAGCCTTTGGAAATCTCTGATTTGCTTCTATCTAAATTCTCAGATTCCACCCTTGTGTAAACTAATAGTTAGGCTGAAAGATTGAGAGAAGGTTCCTCTGGAAGTGAGCATCTTATGATTTTCAACTTAGTTCTCCAAAGACTGAGAAATACCCAGTCTGTTTATTATCTAAAGGTCATGATCTCCAGCTTTTCTTCTTGCGTACATTTTAAGTACAACATGGTATTCTTTCTCCAGTGTGATTAGTGGCTAACGTCAACCACTCCAGAAACAGAAGGAACACATATATTGAGGGAGAACCAGGCGGCTTTGTGCCACATAATTAGACATGCTCTGGGAAGCTTGGAGGGCACTCCTTCCTCTATCTTTTTGGAGAGCACTAGGATGTAAGCTGTTCCTGATACTCTCCTGCCTGCTTACTAAAAATATGAATAGTGTGTTTTTGGAATGGGGCTTTTGCCAATTCTCTTTCAGAAAGAGTGTAATAATATATAGTCATAATAATAGCTTATGCTTATCTCATTGATAAATCCTGTGGACAAACTCAATCCCTTCATTCCATAGATAAAAAACTGTGAATCCTAGTGAAGGCTCTCTTCACTTATGTTCTGGCTCTCTTTATGCCTGAATCAGTGAGGTACCTCACAACAGGGAGATGATGCCTGTTTTGCTCATTTGCCTTCAAATGAGATGAACAGGGGTGGAATCTAGGATTTTGGCAGCAAATAATGTCATCTAGCTAAGAGCATTCTCAAGTTCAGTGACATGTAGGCCTCAGACAAATTCAACCTTTAATATGACATTGGTCTGCCTTATGGTGTATTCCCTGGGCCTGCTTTGTTGTTGTTGTTGTTGTTATTGTTGTTTTTGGAGTCTAGGCCCTGCGTGTTTGTACTGTCCTTTGTAGTGCTGAGATGTTGCATTCTCACACCTTATGGAAGCTTATTATGGAAATAGCTAGAAGTAAGTAAATTGCATCCTAGTTCCATTCATTAGGTACTCCTCTTCAATTGTAAATTTAGATTAAATTGGTGTAGTTTCCCCATTCTTGCCTTTCTTGTCCCATATAAAAGCTTAATGTGATAAACTGCAGTAAGCCTTCATCCTCCTGTGCCTTTTCCCATCCTCATTGATCCCTCTGCCTTTCTTGAAAGGTTGCTCAGATGACTCAGGCAATGTTCTCTGCAGAGTTTGATATCTGGGTTTATTTTTCTGATGTGAGCCTCTCTTTTCACTTGCTCTCCAGGTGAGCCTGGCATTTGCTAGGAGCCAGAGTGGACCCGGCAAAGTGGCCAGCAACAGAGTCCTGATCCAAATGGAGAAAGGGAACCAGGCGTACCTCAACCTGGAGTGGGAAACTTGATAGGAGGTCAGAAGTACTTCAGCTTTGGATTCTCATTTTCCTTATTTAAGGAACTGAGCACCAGAAGGTAGAGACTGAGAAAGGGAAGAGAGAAAATTCAAATCTTCAGTGTGACCTTCAGATTTCAACTGTAGCCTTCTTTAGCAAGTCTGGACAGTGAAAAATAATAGTGGAGTTACAATTTATAAGTAATCACAGCATGACAGGTTGTTTTCCTTGCATGGCACCATTCTTGGAACATTAAAAAACATAGTAGTTTAAAACAAAAAAGAGGAAGTAAGGATCATAGTAATTTTGGCTGCCATTTATTTAGTTCAGGTGATACCATTTCTTAGGCTTCATTCATCATGTTACCAATTTTTTGAGTCTCATGGTTACTTAAATTACTTTTTCTGGCCATTTCTCTCATAACCTTATGCAGTCGTTTTTGCTGTCAAATTCTGGACTTTCACATTTCCTAGCTCTCTTGCATGTTAAATTAAAATCTGGGACCCAAGACCGAAACATTAACAACACAATGACGGCAATAGTCTGAAAGAGAGGTTAGTTTGAAGTACACCCTGTTTTTAAAAAACATCCATATTAAACAACATTCGAAAGTTGCTTCTTTTAGCACTTTATTAACAGGGGCCTGTATGATTGGGGGGGGATAGTTTTCTTCCTCCCTCTCTCCTCTCTCCTATCTACATATGTACATTTTACATAAATACACAGATGGGCATAGAAAATTGCACAAGTACAGCTTGATGAGTTTTTACAGGGTAAACATCAAAGTAAACACTGTGTGTGTGTGTGCGCGCGCGCGCGCGTGAAAGAGAGGATGCCTTATTCATACATGAATATGATTTTCAGTGGCTCTCTGGTTATAAGGTACTCATCTGTTTCTGTCCCTGATGCTTTCTGATTTCTGTTCTTACCAGGGGAGGCCTTGAATCTTGCTTTCGGAGATTATCATCACTATGTACTTCTTAGTAATAAACATGACTCTGGTACATTCTTCTTTTGCTGAGATAGCCTAATTTCCCTTTTTCTTCCATCCCTGTTCACTTATTCTCTGTTTTCTTACTCATTTTCACTCTGTTTTGCTTTTCCATTTCATTCTCTTAAGTAACATCTGGAATTCCCTCTCACTTCCTGTGAGACTCCTGGTACTAAATCTCATAAGACAGAGAGCAGCTTCAACTCTGGCAGCAATGACTAGTCTAATTTTATCTCATTGGTAATTCTTCAATAAGCCTTTATCCATGCAGGTTATTGTTGTCATTTCATTTACATCAGAATCTCATCGCAGTCTGTTTTCTCTTTGACAGAGACTGGTATGTATGCCCATCTCTCATACACAGCGTTTCCTCACAGTTGTCATTTCTTTGACTTGGTCTCTGCAGTATCTCTTGACTCTTTGTTCAACTTGGAGCCTGCCGTCTGGTAGGAAGGTTTGCTTTTGTATTCACATCATCTGTCTCCAAGTTTTAACTCTGCTAGTTAGTTTTCCTAGAAAGCAAAAGAAACTGCATTTTAGGTAAACTGTTTTCTTTTTAGCATCCCCTAAATAATCCGCATATCATTATTTGAAATTTCTTGCATAGATAGCAAAACTCAAGGAATTGAAAGATTCTTGTCAATGTTACAGGTGTGTGTCTGAGACGAGACTGTGGCTGGGCTTCATAAGCATACTCGATTGGGAGGCTGTAATCTAGTTCTCTCTGAATGGCTGCATAACATAAATAGATTATTGGCCCTTTTTCTGATAGTTTCCTCATTCATAAACTACCAAAGCCAGACTTCTCTGGGATATTGTGAGAAACATATGGGAGTAATGCTTTGAGGAAAATACAAAGTACTGAACAAATGTAAGGTTTCGATTCAGATCGATTGAAAAGGCTTTGAGCATGGGTTTCAGGAGTGATTCAGTTATGAACATGGTATGTAATAGAATTTTTATTTTATGATATTCAGTGTTTAGAAGTCTCTTGAACTTCTCTTTTAACAAACTTATCAAGAAGAAAATATTTTCCCTTTAACTGTGGTGCTCCTGGTCTGGACCTCCTTGCTATTGTAATATCATTGTCCAGTTAGGCTGCCTAACCTCTATACTCATTTGTGTTCATCACTTTCATAGGTTTCTTGGAACATCCCCTTCTTTAGGCATCTACTGTTGTGAATTTGCTGTCATTCACATGCTTTGGATTATGATAATCAGATGGTCTTCCCATGTCTTCTGCTTTCCTTCCCCCAAATCCAATGATTGATGATTTAGTTTTCTATATGACAGCTGCCTTTCAGTTGACACAAAAGTTCTTTTAGTCACAGCTCTGTCTTTCAGTGACTTTTTACTGATCTCTCATTCAAGGGACATGCCACTGAATGTTTTTCTGTGTATGTGCTTTATTAAAGGCTAAATAGACAGAACAGAAGAAGGAAACAAAACTAAAGTTTAGTAAGAATAAGAACTCTTTTAAGTAAATAGAATTTATGAGTTCATTCTTGGATTTCTCCATTTTAGGGTAGAGTCAAATTACTGCACAGATGGACAGATTAGTAAAATGCTATACTTTTTGGCCATGATTTCTTTCATACTTTCTGTTTACCAGTTTATCAGCCTTGAAGAATGCTCTTTTTAAAAAATCTTATCTCCAGTATGGAGAGGGTGGTTGGGTGGTGGACACTGGGGAGGCTATGTGCTATGGTGAGTGCTGTGAAGTGTGTAAGCCTGACAATTCCCAGACCTGTACCCCTGGGGCAAATAATACATTATATGTTAATAAAAATAATTAAAAAAAAAATCTTATCTCTGTACTTTAGTTTGGAGCCCTCTCATTTGTCAGAAGCTCTTATGCTCTAATGTTGCCATTTCTATTAATTGAATGCCAGTTAGCTCCTTTTGGCTCACTTATCATTTAAAATATTTTTGGCCTTTTTCACTGTCCTTGTGTCTTACACATTTTCTTTTCCATTAAGATCCTCTCCACTTTTCTGTGTGTCCATCTTATAGAAATTATTTACTTTTTTTTAATTAGATAATATACATGGTTTAAGGCCAAAATGATACATAAGATTTTCTTTCCCATTCACCCTTACCTTTCCATGTAGTTAACAAGTATTTACAGTTTCTTATGGCTTGTGCCAGAGATATTCTGTACCATAAGTAAATTAATGCATATATTCCTTCTTAACCCTTTTAGAAAATACAGTATGATCCTATTTTAATGTACACTATTAGGCTTTTTTTTTTTCCCCCTTTTTTTCATTTGTTTCTTGGGAGATCATTTATGGCAGCATATGAAGCAGTCCCTCATTCTTTTTTTATGGTATTATGTCAGCTCTACTTTGGTCTGAAATTTTAGACCAAATTTTAGACTGAATATTCTAGGGCAAGGTTTTTGTACTGGGAATTCTCCATTTAAAATTGATACAGAATCCATCTGATAGATTGTGTGTAAATAATGATTTCAGATTCTTTTCTTCACATACAGAAAACCTTATTGTTATAGCTAAAAACAAGCTATTAAATGCTCATAATATAATAAAATTATTTTTATCTTTATAGTTTGAATCAGCTTGGGTATTGACAAATATTGCTTCAGGAAATTCTCTTCAGACGCGGATTGTGATTCAGGCAGGAGCTGTGCCTATCTTCATAGAGTTGCTCAGCTCAGAGTTTGAAGATGTCCAGGAGCAGGTAAAAAAATGAAGCAGAGAAGCAGATGAAAGAATACCATTTTTTCCTTTGGTCTTACATTCAGGGGCTCTTTCACCACCTGGCCTTGATAATCCATGATTCATTACAGGGAGTGTTCTAGAAATCTAAACCAAAATGGAAAATTTCATAGTGAATGTAGGCAGAATCTCTTCTGGAAACATAAAACCGTTTTCCCCTTCCAACCCTGAATTTTAAAAAAATTCCTATATACTTTTAATTTTTATTTTATTATTATTATTATTTTTAAAGATTTTATTTTTTAAGTACTTTATATACCCAGTGTGGGGCTTGAACTCATGAGATCAGCACTTGCATGCTCCACTCACTGAGCCAGCCAGCCACCCGGAGCCCTATATACTTTTAATTTTTTTAAAGATTTATTTATTTTAGAGTGAGAGAGCACATGAGCAAGGGCAGGGGTAGGAGGAAAGGTGGGGGTGGTGGGGGGAGAGAGAGAGAGAATCCCAGGCAGAGACTCCCTGCTGAATGTGGAGCCTGGTGAAAGGCTGGATCCCAAGACCCTGAGATCAGGACCTGAGCTGAAATCAAGAGTCAGATGCTTAACTGACTGAGTCACCCAGGCACCCCAGCCCTATATACTTTTTAGATCATATAAGCAGTTACTGAGCATTTACTTGTAGGGATCTCTAGTGTTGATGGAAGGAGCAGGTCTTTGCCCCATTTGAGTAGAAAAGGACCTGGAAAACATGAATTTTTTATTATTGCAAACTTTGTCAAATTCATAAATATAAATCATTGCTAAATGAGTATGATTTTCTTCTGAAGCTTGAGGTATAATTTACAGAAAACTGCATTTATTTAAAAAGTACAATTTGATAAGTTTTGACATATGTATATACCTGTAAAACCATCATCACATTCAAGATATATATCCATTACCCCCAGAAGTTTGACAGCTTTCCGCATTTTGATTGCTTTTAAAATCTCTGTTCACTGTTTTCTTTTGTAAGCAAGCTTAAAATACATTTTTAATCAGCTGAGTATATAAGAACTGGTTCCTCCCTTTAATAAGTTTATACCATGGCTGTTCAAATATACACTTTATAATATGCTTGCTATTCTTCCCTCAGTCCCACAACTATTTCATTTGATTCCCTGATAATGAACTTCTATTAGAAGTATTAATAGTGCTTATGTGTATGTTGATTAATTACTATATAATTTTGTAAAGAGTTATTGTGGTGGTTTTTGACATCTTTTCTGAGAGAATTATACTACACAACCTATCATTAATGAACAATTCTTTCGCAGGCAGTCTGGGCTCTTGGCAACATTGCTGGAGATAGTACCATGTGCAGGGACTATGTCTTAGACTGCAATATTCTTCCCCCTCTTCTGCAGTAAGTTTATTTCTATTATTATTACTATTTTTTGAGTAGTAAAAATATGGAAGTTTCTCAGAAAGTAGTGCATCTTTAGAAATAATTTTGGATTTTCTGTTGTTATTTTTTATTACAGATACTTTCTTACTAACTTGTTCAGATAATTTCTTCAGGCATTCTGTCTTACTCCAGTGCCAAAATTCTGGATTAGTGCTGTTAGAATTAATTCAGCTTTATTGTTCTGGAGAAAAGCTATTTAAAGACGTGTTGATCAGTAGCTCTAATATTTATCTTATGCTAGGAGAAAATTAATGTCCATTTTATAGTTTACCATTGTATCATACTTATAGGTTATTTTCAAAGCAAAACCGCCTGACCATGACGCGGAATGCAGTATGGGCTTTGTCTAATCTCTGTAGAGGGAAAAGTCCACCTCCAGAATTTGCAAAGGTAAGGATTATGCTTGTGGGAAATGAGCAGAAAAAGTACAATTAAAAGAATGTAGCAGCAAATATTAATGTGAACAGAGAGATGATAATTTTTCATATAAAATCTAAAATGTTAGAATTTTATCTGTTTCTGGAGAAATAGGGCTTTTTGTTGTTGTTTTGTGGTTTTTTTTGGTGTTAATTTGGGATAAATTTTCACTGACCATAAAAAGCTCTAAATTAATCTTAAAACCTAGCATTTTTTATTTATAGCAAAGTATCTAAAAAATTTTTTTAGCTCTACCACTTGTGGAAGTTTCTTTACCTCTTTGATCCAGAAAGAATGTATTTCAACAAGGAACTTCACTCTGAAAATTGGTATATACTTCAGTCTTTGAGATTATTTTCCTTAGTCTCTGACTACCTCATCAAAGTAAATTGCAAGGCACTGATAGCATTCCCAAAGATGGAAATGCCACTTGGCCATTTGCTACTCCATTTCTAGAAGTATTAATCACCCCAGAAGTTACCATCTGTGTGCCTGATTGCCTTTTGGAGTTTCTCTCCTCACTTCTAGCTTTTATTCTGCTAAATTTCATTATCATATCATCTTCCCTTACAGGTTTCCCCCTGTCTGAATGTGCTTTCCTGGCTGTTATTTGTCAGTGACACTGATGTACTGGCTGATGCCTGCTGGGCCCTCTCATATCTATCGGATGGACCTAATGATAAAATCCAAGCCGTCATTGATGCTGGAGTATGTAGGAGACTTGTGGAGCTGTTGATGTAAGATATCTTAAAGTGTGTCTCTTCTTTTGTCCTTGTATTAGTTTATTAGTTTTCTAGATACTGGTAAATATTAATACATTATACTGATTTACTGTGCTTTGGGCTGCTCTCTTTTGTTACTTATATTGATATCTAGTCTGTTTGTTTTGAGGCTTATATAAAGAACAGCTCTTTCTTTTGCTGTGAACAGTCTTTCAGCAGGAACATTTGGAAAACTCTCATCTGTGTAATTAATGTTTAATGACCTGAGCCCAGCCTCAGGATAGAAGATAGCAAAAGGCATATTGCCACTTAAAAGAGTAGATCCTGAGGCACCTGGGTGGCTCAGTCAGTTAAATGTCCGACTCTTGATTTGGGCATAGGTCACGATCTCAGGGTGGTTAGATGAGCCCTGCGTCGAGCTGTGCACTGGGCACGGAGGCTGCTGAAGTTTTCTCTCCCTCACCCTCTGCTGCCCTTCCCCGTTTAAATAAGTAAAGAGGAAGTGAAAACTATATTAATGAGAGGGAAATCTTATAATCCAGGTGATAGAATACCTGGGAAAGATTATTAAGATTTGTAGTTTTTATCCAAAAATAATAAAGGCAGAGAGAGCTCTCCCAGGGAATACCAAACCCATCCTCGCAGGGTTCCCTTGAGAACCACCACAGACAGGTAACTTTGTGCTTTAAAGTTACGTCGCATTATTTGGTTTGGATTTCAGCCCTAAAGAAAAGAGACTAAGGTTAGAACTGTTGGATTAATATTTCTTTTTATGGTTGCAGGCATAATGATTATAAGGTGGTTTCTCCTGCTTTGCGGGCTGTGGGAAACATTGTCACAGGCGATGATATTCAGACGCAGGTATGAATAAGTGGTAACTTTTTTTTTCTTTCAGAAACGGTACATTGAACCCCATGGTTAGGTTACTGTTAAGAGTATTTAACTCCATGTTATTAGGGAGAATTGACACTGTTTCATTAATATTTGTTAAAAATGTTGCCTTGGCTACTTTCAGTACCCTCACTGGCTCTATTTTGACCTATTGCTATTACAGCAGTTTTGGGTTCCCCTTTGGTTATTCAGTTTATTTCCCACTACTGCTTCTACTTGAAGTGGTTCTTGTCAGAGCCTCGAGTAACATCTTTTCTCTGTCATCTTCATTTCGTCTTTAATATCTTCCTTTTCTTTGCACATGGTAAATCTCCAATGTGATGAGGAGTCTTCCTTGTTCTTAATGTCACCCCTCCCCACTCCATTCAGCTTTTGTATCAAGATATATTCACAGTGGATTTTTCTAGGTATTTTTCTTTATCCCTCATATGCTTTGGCCTTGTCTTTAACATTCTTTTCCTAGGCTTCCATGGTGTTTAAGTGTTTTGGGTCTCCTGCTTCACTGACCATTTCTCCTTTGCAAGCTCCTTTTCCTGTCCTTTTTTGTTTGTGGGATTATCCCCTGAGGGGTATATTCATTGATCTTATTTATAACTTCAGCCATCACCCTGGTGCAGCTTGATTGAGAACTCAGACTCAGGTTTTCGCCTTAGCGCTTAGCCAGTCCTGACTCGCAGGAAGGCAAATTTAATGCCTGCTCTTTTCTAATCCCTAAAATTTTGATTTGTACTTGAAGGTGTCTTCCAGTTCTAATACTTACTTTAAATTTATGCTGTCCAGAAGGGAACTCATTATTTTCCCTAGTATATCTGGACCTCTGCTTATTTATGTTACCTCCCTTAGTGAATGAGGACACCAGCAGTTGACCATGTCCAAAACCTGTACATTAGCTCTCTCATTAGTCATTAAGTGCCATCCCTCCTCATCCTTTGCAATGCTTAGTTCAGACATATTTTGTTCCATTCTTGTATCATCAGAAGGATGCTTGCAAAATGCAAACTTCATCAGGTCATTCTCTTACCTAAAATCTTTTTTTTTTTTTTAAAGATTTTATTTATTTATTTGACAGACAGAGATCACAAGTAGGCAGAGAGGCAGGCAGAGAGAGAGGAGGAAGCAGGCTCCACGCGGAGCAGAGAGCCCAATGCGGGGCTCGATCCCAGGACCCTAGGATCATGACCTGAGCCGAAGGCAGCAGCTTAACCCACTGAGCCACCCAGGCGCCCCACCTAAAATCTTTTTATGGTCCCCTATTGTCCTTTGAGGGTGTTTGAGATCCCTTAAAATGTGGCACACCTGTTTAATGGAATGCTGTACAACAGAATGAGGAAGCTCTTAAGCACTGATACAGAGATATCTCCAGGTTACATCATTTAAAAAGAAAAATAGGAAGTGTATAGAATCTGTTACTATTTATATAAAAGGAGGCAGGGAGGAGAGGAGAAAAAACCCAACATATATGCTTGATTATATTTGCATAAAATTTCTCTGGCAGGAAACTGATAACATTGGTTGTCTCTGTGGAGACCTGGGTTGCTGGGGTACAGGAATGGAAAGGAAGTTTTTGCCTCTGTAGTCCTTTATTTGCTACTCATAAAAAGTTTGTCTTTCCCTCCCCATACCATGCTCTGTGCTTTTGCCATGTTTACTCCTTGAATTCACTAGGACTATACTCAGCCCTAAGTTTTAACACACACTTGCTTCCCTCTGTACCAGACATAGGCTTGCATCCCCATCCCTGCTCTTAACCACTCCCACACATGAATCCACACTCTGCCACTAATGTCCTCTCATTCTTCAGGTCTTCCCATTAATATTATTTTCTCTGAGAGGCCTTGTTTGCTACCAGACTCTTAAGTTAGGTGTGCCTTCTTTTGTTTCATCCGTCATAGCACATGCCACACTGTATCCTAACTGCCTAATTATTAGATTGTGAGCTTCTAGAGGGGGAGTGGTGTCAGTCTTGTTCATTTTTGTCCTTCTGTAGTCTTAATAGTTCCTGGCACAATACAGAAGGACTGAAAAATTACTGAATGAAGGAAGTTCTGTATCTATACATCCAGTTCTGATGTCCCTCAAGTACTGCTTCTGGGTCTCCAATAGCCTATTAGATATTTCTGCTTGTGTGTCTCACATTTGTATCTCTCACAGTTTATTTTCTTCCCCCCAGATGTCTGGTTCCAAGTCTTTTTTTTTTTTTTTTCCCATTTCAGTTAATGAGGTAACTATTCAACTGCCCCCGCCCTTGAAACTTTGCAGTCATATCTGGTGTCTCCATCTCTTGTTGATTCTTAGTGTCTCAGTATCTTCATCTACTTACCTTAGTTTGGTCTATGTTTTCTCACACACAAGGGTCATGGCTGTACCTACCTGATTTATCTTCCTAGTCTCCCCAGCATTTACCCCTCTCATTTGACTCTTCCTAGTAATAGTTTAATCTTTCCTACAACAACCTTGTTCACATTACCTTCTGAAAACAGTGAACTTCTTTAATGATTATGGGATAAAGAATCTTGAAAGACTAAAGAATTTGTACTTCAGGATATTAATCTCTTTCTGGTAGCCTACTGTTAATTTTGGGGTTAATGAACTCTTCCTTAATCAAGTCTTACTGCTCTATTCTTTCCTTATTTTGGTACTTTGTGGTAGCTTGTCTCAGCACTTTTTCATTGCCAGCCTTTCTTATCTGCTGTGTTCTCCCTCTTCTTTGCTTATGAAATTCTATCTGTGTTTCAAGGCACTTCCCCCAACCCCACAAAGTCTTTTTTCCTGACCACTCCGAGGGTATTGTCTTTAACTGGTGACAGGTTTATTATTATTTTTTTGGCATGTGTATTTTCTAAATCACATCTTTGGCATTTAAAAAATTGCTTTGTAGTATCTTTTATACTGTTAAAATTGTGTTTCTTTAACCACATGTTTTATTATTTTTTGAGCTGTATTAGGCAGAAATGGCTTCATTTAATTTGCATTTCTTTCATTACTTGTGAGGGAGGTAATCTATTAAAATTGTTTCTTCTAACAGTTTACATATTAAAGACAGCAATCCTTTTATCTGTTGAAATTTCTTTTTACATTATGTAGTGTGCGTTTTAATTTTTTTTTGACATGCAAATATTTGATCAAGTTTTATTTTCCCCTGTAATTTCATCCATTGTTTTTATGCTTGTAAAGTCCTTCACTATCCCCAAACCAGTTATTTACTGATATTTCTTGTTTTTTGGTGTGTTTGTATGTGTACTCTTTAAATTAGTTGTGGGTTTATTTTGGTAATGGGTTAAGAATTGGACTTTCTAAAAAGTACTTTTTAAAAATAAAAAAATGTCTTTCAACTAGTTAACCTCTGGAGGAACTTTATTATATATTTAATTCCTTATAAAGACCTGCATTAGTTTCTGGACTAGATGCCTGTTCTTTTACTGTTACTCAGTGATTGATTCTTGAGCCTACCATGTACTCCTTCAGTCATTGTAACTTAACGAGTTTAGTTTTGGTAGACTAGATCTCCTTCATGTGTCTTTGTCTTACTCTCCCTCCCCTTTGTAAGCTGTTTGAAAGCTGGAGACATATCTGCCTTTCTGTCCTCTGAAGCACTTGGTGTACTTCAGTAAGTGGGTATTTGTTGATTGACGACCAGGTAGAGTGTTACCAGAAGACTTAAAAATCTGAGACCACTTCTGAATTTCTGGCCACTTGATCTATTTACCCACCCAAAAGACTTTTTCATTCCTCTGAGGATAGGAAGGTGAAGGACTAATACATTATTATGCCTTATGAGGTAGCAGTTATACGATTGTAATGTGTATAACAAAACTGCTTTGATAATCTTAGAAACTAATACTTACTGGCACTGAATACTTTTTTACATGTATAAAGTTATTTCTTACTAAAATTTCAAGGGGAGACATTATTTCTTTGCTTATATTGTTCCTAAAATAAATGAGTTAAAGATTTACCTCTGTTTGGTCAGTAGAGAGTAAGTTTCAAACTTTTCTGTTTAGGTAATTTTGAATTGCTCAGCTCTGCAGAGTTTATTGCATTTGCTGAGTAGCCCAAAGGAATCTATCAAAAAGGAAGCATGTTGGACAATATCTAATATCACAGCTGGAAATAGAGCACAGATTCAGGTAATCCCATAGCATCTGTCTTTTTTCTTCTATTTTTATTTTTAGGTTTTGGGTTTTTTTCAGTTAGCCTTAAATTTTTTTTTCGTTACTACCTTGGAGACCATGAACTTCCAACACTGTTGTCTTGTTTAGTTTACTTTTTTTTTAAATTTTAACCTACCTTACAAAAGTTCAGACTTTTGAAACTTTGGTTTTTTCCCTTTGCCTTCAATATTTGATGATTTGCCGAGACCCAACAGATAGTGTCTTACATTTTCGAAAGGTTTTGATGATGTTTATGCTAAACAGCTTGGCTTTACTCTTGCCAAATAAGATTTTTTTTCTAGTAGACCCATGTATTGGGTAATTTCAGTTTTTTATAAAACCTTTGGGGACCCATTTTTCTCTAAATGGTTATCTGCCTTTTCATTTTATTCTTCTTTTAGGTGGGAAAGTAACCCCAGTGGAAGATAAAGCAAGCAGTGGGCTGAAGGTCACCATAGGTCCTAAGAAAGGCTAAACAATTGGTTATGAAAGATAAAACACAGACCTATGGGACTTTGAGCTGAGTGGAATCAGAGAGGTTATCTCTTCCAGTATTCTCTTTTAAGGATGAAACTGAGGATCAGAGAAAGTGATTTGCTCAAGGACACCCCTAGTAAATGACAGGATCGAGATGAAGTGTCTTTCCACTAACTTTGCTGACTTTCTTTACCAGTATAACAGAGTTCTTGATCAGGAAACCGTGGTTGATGAATCATTAAATTCTACTCCTGAAACCAATATTACCCTATATGTTAACTAACTAGAATTTAAATAAAAACTGGAAACAAACAAAACAAAAAAAGCATAGTTAGTCATCCCCAGAATGCTGCCAGGGACTGAGATTGGTAGCTATTAACAGTACATACGAGGTGGTTTAAGCTATAGTTGATTGCCTGCTACTATCAGGCTCTCATGTAGAATTTCTCAGTTTCTTGGTAGAGGAAATGATACAAAACCCATTTTAGGTTTTTGAACTTAGGAGAAAAATGAGGCAGATTGGTTTAGTATTCATATATGAGGGGGAAGTGAGTGAAAGTACTCTGTCCAACTACAGGGTATGCTGGTAATCTGGGTGGGAGGTTGGAATAGGATCCGGATGTTTTAAATATAGAATGTAAAGGAGACTTAGTGACCGATAATATTTAGAATAAGTAAATACAAAAAGAGGTTTGAGAGGAGACCTTCTGTAGAGGGTGGATGAGGTTTAAAGTGGTTAGCAGATCTAAAGCAAGCTGTTGGCCACCATGGGCTTGGGGCACCCAAAAGTGAGGACTGGAGGGTTACAGTACACGTGTCAGAGTTGGATGCTGTGAAAGAAATGAGACTAGCAGAGGAACAGAAAATTGAACTTTTGTAATTTATTACTGTGGGTGGAACAAGAGAGGACAATCAAAGAGAAAAGAACTCAAGGAAAAACTAAGAGATTATAAGATCCCAGACTCCAGGGAGTGTTACCAGTGATACCAAGTATGGTTGAAAGGTGATGGGTAAGAGAATTTAACTCCTTCCAGTTAATTTTTAACAGGGGGAGGGGTGTCATTAGGGAAGCCAGCTATAAAGTTATAATTAGCATCATGAACATTTTTGAAATTTGTAATTTCCCTTTTCATTTAATTTCAGACTGTGATAGATGCCAACATTTTTCCAGCCCTCATTAGTATATTACAGACTGCTGAGTTTCGGACAAGGAAAGAAGCAGCTTGGGCCATCACAAATGCAACTTCTGGAGGATCAGCTGAACAGATCAAGTAAGTACTAGTTAGGTAGCATCTTGTAAATTAAAGGAAAAATCAGGTCTGCTAATTAACGAATGCTCAGTTCTAACCTTTTAGAAGATTGTTCGGAGTTTCATAACTAGACTCAAATGTGTATTTAATTTTTCTCCCATTCCTTCCTGCTGAAATAATTCCTACTATAAATTCCAGGATAATAGAAGTAAGGCAACGTTGAGGTTTGAGAGAAAAGAAGTATTTATGGGGTGGCTTTAGCCTAATCTGGAGCTTTTTGATCAGAAAAATCTTAGGTAGTCTAGAAGGTTAGTAGAGTCCTTAGAGTCCAACTTTGGTATTTAACTTTTGCTATTTTAGTTTAGATGTCTCAATAGATTTCGATCAGACTTTGAAAGAGAGGTATATCTGAGAATAAAATGCCAAATTCACTAGAGTCACTGGATCCTAAATTCCTGTAATGTACAGTAAAGGGAGAGAGCTGTAGTACCTTGAGACTT